TATGATGCGGTACCATGCCCCTCCCTATATACTAAGTACTACCGTACTTAGTGATTTAACGAGACTGGCAATCTCCCAGAGAGTCACTCCAAAAGACCACACATCGGACGAGGTCGAGAACTCTCCGTCGCGGATTGACTCAATGGCCATCCACCTGATTGGGAGTCGCCCCAGCTCACCCTTCATGTACACCAGTCCCTTCTCCTCTTCAGAGATGTCGTCCAGACCAAAGTCGGCTATCTTGACGACCTTGTCGGCCGTCAGGAAGAGATTGCGACAGGCCACATCGCCGTGGACTACCCCAATACTAGCCAAGTGCTCCTGTGGTTGCGAGAGACAGAAGGGAGAGGAAAAGTAAGAAGAGGGAAAAGTAAGAAGGAGAAGAAAGCGACAGGAGAAAGAGAAACAAAGCTGTCTACTGAACATTGAATACGTAGTTGCACAATCATGTGATGCAAAATTGGAAATGGGGGCAAGTCTGATGCTGTAAATGCCGATACCCCTACTTCTGAAAGAAGTGGACTCAAGAGAAACAGAGCCTGCAATACTTCCTTACGTTCTCTGCCTACCATGGCCCACATTAAGAGCTCCTACAATTGAGAATGTATGTATCTCTCTCACCAGTCCCGCTGCCACGTGGGAAGCAAACAGCATCAGGTCCTGTGGCTGGAGGCTCTGCTGGCTGCTGTGCTGAGGCAGTGTGTGTGGGAGTTTGTGTCCACTTGCTCCGTTCTGGTAGTCCAGCATCTGCAGCTTTGACTGGTATATCTGTAGGTCATGCAAGAAAAGGAGAGTGAAGAGAAAGCAACAAGAAATAGAAGGGGAGCAAGGTTGACAGCATAGAGAGGTGTTCGGTCATAGATATACTAAAGAGCGACGAACATGCAAAGGGGAGCATAAGGAACTTTAGTATTATCATAGGCCTATAGCCTACCTAATGTCAAGAGGTGCACTGTGCATTCATTTTCAGCTACACTTGTGTTTCCTTGCCTGTGAGCACTCTACACTAGACCAGGAGCACATGATGTGGCTTATGTGCTCCCGACAATGCCCACACCCATTCTCTTTCTTTCTCTCGTATCTAGGGTGTATACCTCCCATCTCTGGCTCCTGAGGTAAGTGAGGAGGTCCCCCTGCTCGGGGTACTCTGTGAGCAGTGAGAGAGGCTCCATCTCTGTCACACAGCCCACCAGACACACCAGGTGCGGGTGCTGGTACTGCGCAACCTTCTTGGCCTGCAGAATGTGCTTCAGGAAGATCTGTCTGTCCTGTTCCGTTGCATCATCTGAAACCAATACAGAGAAACGTGCAGAGGCAGTTTGGGTTTCCCAAAGAAATCCCAGAAAATTTAGTGTTTAACAAAATTGTTTCCCATGTAACTCTGCTTGATTATTGACTGACTTAAGTTGGGAATCTCATATCTAACACTTGCCTCTTTCAAGACAATGCTTAGTGCTCACCTTTCAGTTGCTTCACAGCAACTACAACTGAGTTGCTCGCATCGAATTTCTTAACGCTGCTCTTCTCAGTAATGGTGCTGTCAAACAGTCCCTGGTACACCTCCCCAAAGGCTCCCTCCCCGAGTCTGCTCTGAATGGCCACTTGGTTGCTGTACACTTCCCACTGGTCCAGCTTGCCCGCCATGTACTTGTCCTTCTCACTAGTCTTGCGGATAAACACCGTGTTTAGCCTCCTCTGCAATTGGCATAGGTCACAGAGAGTGTTGTGGTATCGATAATCGACACTTATTCGTAGTTAGCATAGGGATGTGTGCATCAATAGTGGTGGGATAGTTGGACACCGGTTCATGACAAAACTGCACAGCAGACAACCAAAGGGAATATACTGTATCGTAAGGTTAGACATTGGTTGCTGGTACAACTGTGCACCAAGGGGCACTGCATTAAAGTCTCACACACATTTTGCTTGTAAGTGCAAGTAGACAAACAAGGATCTGCATATTTACAGATTTTACTAAACCACCGCATTAAAGCCCCTACACTTGTGTCAGGAGAAAGTAATACTGATTAAGGGAAGAGTGTCTTACTATTCTCCTTTGCTTCCTGTTCCTGAGAGTAGGATAGTAGGCAAGGAAGAGGATGACAAACACAACCACCACACACACCAGCAGAACGAGGACGACTGCTACCACAATGTAGACCACTTCTCTATCGTCTCCTCCACTATCGCTTGTCTGTCCACCTGTACAATGGAGAGAAAGAGACGGGGAAGAGAGATTTTAGTGATATGTGGGTATCAATGCAATGTGTAAACTGGCGGCACCGTTTTATTGACTGCTCTAATTGTAAGGATTGCAAAGCGTCTGGAGGATGAAAGGCTGCGTAGACACCGGATATGATTATACTCGCTTTCGTCAAATTTTTATTGTTGAGGAACCGTACATCGCCGCTTTACACCGGCAATCGCTGCACATCAAACTCAAATGTATGACAACTTTCAGTGCCTGTGATCCGACAAAACTATTAGTATCAATGACGCTGATTCCTCTAGGCTATTACTGATTTGGCGAGCAAGTCAGTCGGGTTAGCCTACAGAAGTCTGTCTCGTACAGCAACAACACTGCTGCCACTGTCACTTCGTCGCACAGTTGCCAAGGCCAATGACGCAAACAACCCTTTGAAGAAGCCATAGGGTTGTTAGCACCTGTTTTGTGCATAACGCTTATGTGCCTACAAGTGTAGGCGTGAGGTCGTGTCGCAGCAAGTACACTGCCAACTGGTTCTTCCTGTGGTAAACACTCGTGGCATATCCCTCTTACCAGCGGAATGCTTTGTGTAAGGAGCTGTGTGTACAGCAACAGTGTGTAGGCGAGATGAGAACCGATTTACTTCTCAAGAACATCAGAATAGATAAAGTGTATGAACGTGATATGCGAGGTAGATGCACCACTGAAGCAGAACTCTTATCCTCCGGTGCCGCGTCAAATGGCAATGCTAGGTAAACTATAACTAGCCCCGTGCTTGCTGCACAAGTTTAAATTGGAGAACCAATTGAGTACCGTTTTTTTACCTTTTCTAGTTCATTGTTTGCATACATGTGTTGGTTATACTGAAAGGAGTTTGTGTTACATGCCGTTCTTAGTTAAGCAATCAGCAAGAGTAATCCAATAGTCATAGTAGTACACTGGGTCACAGAACAAGCTGTTGAGCACATGTAGTCTGGTGGCTGTCGTGTGAAGTGCCAACAGCTGCAAAACTGGACCTTCACCTAGTACGACAGCGTCTCTGAGTTGGTTGTTTATGTCAGACTACAGCCACTTTGTGACAGAGTCAGCCCTCTTGTGCCCTCTTGCCAAATCAAGCCATTAGCCACTCAGACGGTTATGTTTTATTACTACCGCTTTTTGCATGTGTTACATGTGATTACAATTAATTCGTATTTTTGGGTTCTTGGTCCCTCTTTTTTCACACTGAATGCTCAAGGACGATTACTTTACACACCGTTGGCCTCCATTATATTTCTAATGCCCCAAGGTCTATGTATATTCATTTCAGTTTCAATTTTGAGACACATCAATTGAGGACTTAGCTCCATATTATACCTGCGTTGGATTCCACAGTAGAGGGCAGAGTGCTGGTAGTGGGAGTAAAATGAGGTAGTTCTAGGCAGAAAGCATCACTCCATGGACCCTCTGCCATGAAATGTGTCACTGCCTTTACCTGTGACATCACACAGCAATAAGTCATACATAATGTCTGTATAAAGATTATCACACAAAGCGAAGAAGCATCCAAAAGACAAAAACAACTATCATGAGTAGTAGTAGGTTGATGATGTTTTCTACTGGGAAACTTATGCAAGGAGGTCATAATTGCTGCAAGTTACTTTACTGATTGCCTATAATCGTCTGAATTGCGCGATTATAAACATCAGGTAGAGCCGGTTTAACAGTATGGAGTTGACTCTTCAAAGATGTGCTGCACTGGCTCTGGTAAAACTCTTACCTGTATGTAGATACAGGGTCTGGAGTTGTCCAGTGTCAGTCTGAGTCCACTGATGGTAGCCGTAGGTTCAGTCTGCCGGGAAATGAAATCACATGTTGGAATGTCACAACACTGGTAGAGAACCAGCCAAATTGCTAACCGTTTAGGAAATAAGGCCTAGCACTTTTGTTAGCAGAATTTCATTGATGCAAGGAATTGGCTAAATATAGAAGCGAATTTATTAAGTGCCATTCAGTATACTTCGTTGATTTGAGTTGAACAAAAAGACAGTAGTCATCATTTTACTTTTCTCTTATGTATTAGTTTTACACGCATGTGTATACTCTAGTTATCAAGCAGGCTGCGCGACATTAATGGGTCTCAAACGGTTCTGTATAATTCTCACTGGTTGAAGTTCATGTATTGGAGTGGACCCAGTTGTATTGTCGCGTGCCACCCTCAGTTGATAGTAGGCCACCTCAGCCTCCACCCCCTCCCATGCAACTGCAATGTCCAGTGTAACAGTGGAAATCTTGGACTCTGCGATCGGTTTGATCAGCTCTGCAGTCACGCCCACCACCTGAGCTGGTAGTAGGGCCTCTGCAGAGAAGGTCTGTCGGCGCGGGGCAGGGATTAACACAACCAGGGAGAGGTCTCCTGGATGGGACTTTAGCTGGGGAGAGAGATAAATGCACCATCAGTTTTAGCCGAAATACTATGTTTAATGCATCTGTTTGCATGGGGAGAGAGAGAGAGCACTATCAGTTTTATATATGTTTAAAATGCATCAGAGAAAGGTGGCACTGATTCATTGACTCAACTTTAAAATCACTGTTAGCCAAGAAAAAGTTGGTATATTATTTTCCTATATATGTGGAGGCAATGATGCGCAGGGTTGCAAAATGCACATACAAAGACTCCCCCAAAACCAAGAGGGCATACGTAACTTACTGTTATCTGATGTTTGAAGTTTTTCTCATCATACTTGGCGCTCTGAGTGTGATGGTAGGCCAGTCCACTGCTTTCCTGCAGGCAAAAGCACACAAAAAGTTTTTTCGCTAACATGTACAAACATTAAGGGATTTTACTAGAAATCTATGGTGATAAAAAGGTTATCAAGCAGGCTGCGCGACATTAATGGGTCTCAAACGGTTCTGTATAATTCTCACTGGTTGAAGTTCATGTATTGGAGTGGACCCAGTTGTATTGTCGCGTGCCACCCTCAGTTGATAGTAGGCCACCTCAGCCTCCACCCCCTCCCATGCAACTGCAATGTCCAGTGTAACAGTGGAAATCTTGGACTCTGCGATCGGTTTGATCAGCTCTGCAGTCACGCCCACCACCTGAGCTGGTAGTAGGGCCTCTGCAGAGAAGGTCTGTCGGCGCGGGGCAGGGATTAACACAACCAGGGAGAGGTCTCCTGGATGGGACTTTAGCTGGGGAGAGAGATAAATGCACCATCAGTTTTAGCCGAAATACTATGTTTAATGCATCTGTTTGCATGGGGAGAGAGAGAGCACTATCAGTTTTATATATGTTTAATGCATCAGAGAAAGGTGGCACTGATTCATTGACTCAACTTTAAAATCACTGTTAGCCAAGAAAAAGTTGGTATATTATTTTCCTATATATGTGGAGGCAATGATGCGCAGGGTTGCAAAATGCACATACAAAGACTCCCCCAAAACCAAGAGGGCATACGTAACTTACTGTTATCTGATGTTTGAAGTTTTTCTCATCATACTTGGCGCTCTGAGTGTGATGGTAGGCCAGTCCACTGCTTTCCTGCAGGCAAAAGCACACAAAAATTTTTTTCGCTAAGATGTACAAACATTAAGGGATTTTACTAGAAATCTATGGTGATAAAAAGCTGCGCTTTCAAATTCGTCACTACCCATTAATTTCCTCCCTCTTTAACCCAAAGAGTTTTTGTACTCACATTTGTGAAGTAGACTGTGGAGGACAGAGTCTCTCTAGTGTTGTCAGGGGCAATGAGATCAACCAGGACCTCGAATGACCCGACAGCTCTCTGGACGTTTGTGTCGTCCGGCATGCTCCAGTCCAGCTTGTAGGTGAAATTGCCTGTCTTGTCGTCCCACTCCTGACTCCACTGCGGGTCCAGCGGAACTGGCGTCGTGTCTGAGCCTGAGATCAGCAATTGTACCAGTAGTATATACAGTGAAACCTCTGAATAAGGGGTACCTTGGAGACATTGAAAGTGTCTTTATGAAGAGGTAATAATGTACTTTAGTATGGGGCAGAACCAAGTGTCCCTTATATAGAGGTGTCCTTTATTCAGAGGGTCCTTTTTCGGAGGTTTCACTGTATACATTTGTACTGATGGTAGTACTATGGCTCTGACTCTTCAAGGGCAAAAAACATTGCTGATGCGAGGAAAAGAGGATTTGGGAAAACTTGTGGATATCAAAATGTCAGGACCTAAACTTCTCAGTGCTTCCAGAGTTCCTAATGCTTCAGCTTAGAGCGCTAAGAGTGCTTCTTAAGGTTCTACTCTACTATATTGGCTGCCTCTATTTAGTTTTTCTTTGAAGGCTAAGGAATAAAAGGTGCTGGAGCCAAAGTTAGTGTGTTAATGGGATACGGTTCACAGAACCACGGGGAAATTCTGCATGCTTGTGGTATGCTAGTGGACAACCCATCTTGGCTCACTAGAGATATGGACTTTGTGAACATCCGGTGGATAGGTTGGACATATACTGCGATCCAAGGACACTGCTTCGATCTGGTGAAATGACAAGACAGAGTTGAGAGGTACAAGAGATAGACTTGTAGGGAGAGTGTTAGGTTATACCGTAACAGTGTAGCGGCAGTCACTGACTGGTCCATCTCCCACAACTCCAGCCGAAATGTACCATCTTAAGTCGTCACCAGTACTACTCCTCTGTGTGCGATATAAACCACTGTGTTAACCTACAGCACATGCGCTCTACAACTAGTATACATCGCCAGTAATTTTGCCAGTTGGCATCACTTATTTGGATCGCTTACATGCACCCTGTCATCTCTTCAATCTAAAACTTTTATCGAATCGCTAATTGGATGCTTTTCCTTGCCCTGCCCACCGTACAGCTATTTCTGTCCTCATAAGCATACCCCTGAAATCTTTGTGAGTTGGACTGAATCACCCGAGACCAGATAGGCTCTAGCTCTGACTTTATGTGTGTAGCTACCTTGTCAAATCTCTTGGTGAGATTGGTTGGCCTGCAGTACGGCTGCTCATCTGGTGTCTCCAGCTGGAATCTTGCCTCGTAGTGATCCAGGCGCTCAAAGCCTTGAGAAGTAAAACAAATAAATAAAACTGGACTGATAAATTGACTGCACACGAAATGAATATCCACACATCTATCCAATAGCAAAGGATGATCAAGGTTTCGGACCAAAGTTGGCTCCTCCATACATACATACATGTTGGCAACCTTACTGCATGGCACAACCCACAACGCCGGTGCAAATGTGGACAAATCATGACACTAATTGTACTGCACACTAAAGACGAGGACACACACAAACAAGAAGACTCAATTTAAAGCAGAAGTTGAGGGATATCCCTTCCATCCAACGTGTCAGAACAGAAATCAAAAGAGTTTCTCACACCTTTTTCTCGTCTCTTCCAGTGTACGATGACGTTAGCATGTTTCCAGTATCCAGTCATGTTGACGTTTTCTATGTGAGGGTTGACATTGTCTGGGTGGAACGCACAAGTAGGTGGAGACTCTGCATTACAAAGATGGACAGTAGATATGAATGGAATGATTTTTAGCTTCTATAATATGTGTAATTCAGTCACTTAAAGCACAACATTTTTCAGGCCAAAAATTGTGATCCATACACAATGATAATGTAATACCTCCAGAAACCTCGACGCTGAGGGAAGTGTCTGGACCGTAGCTGGAGGAAGCCAGTCCAAACTTGTTGATAGCTCCAAGTTGAAACCTTAGCTCCTCACACGCATACGCCGTGAGATTGAGTATCTCGTCGAAACTTGTCTGAATTTGAAACATCATTGCACATCAGTCACCTCTCCTTATCATGGAAGCCCATTGACTGCCATATTGAATCATATGGACTTCCATATTTACTGCAATACTTACCAACCAAATGTACTTCTGTTTTCTTCCGCTAACTCTAAGAATGATTATTGTGGGGTGTCGTATTGCACTGGAGTTAGACTCTTGTGGGACAGCTGCACTGGGGTCCATCGTGTAGAGTCCGGCATCACTGGTGTGAGGAGAAACGTCGTCTGGTGCATCAGCTATTGCGAGCTCCAGGCGGCCGTTCGGAGCTGGGGGAAGAGCTGAGAGGGGGGAGAGAAGAGAAGAGAGGAAAATTTTATTCGGGGTGTAAATTTAGTTTGATCATAGTAGCACTGGTATGAGCTCATAGTTGCAGATTTAATGCCTATATAGCTGCAAGCTTGCTCAGCCAAGCAAGGCATAAATAGTGCTTATGCAGCATTTCCCCAGGTGACATTTCACCTGCAAACACATGCTTCTAAGAATACTGGCTACGGAGTACGGATAATGTGAAGAATTTGGCCTCCAAATCACCCCTGGAAAGAAATTGTTTACATAGCATGCTGCGATAGTGCTCATGCCAAGTGGTACTATTGTGTCGAGGACTGATAAGACTGCACATACCATTAGGATCTGCGCCTTCTTCTTTTATAACTTCCAGCTCTTGCTTTACCTCGCAGCCAGTGTTGCAAGCATCTATTCTCTAATAAGAAGAGTTGCATGCAGGATTAAAAGGAAATGATGAATATATATATATACACTCTTTTTGTCTGAGGTTTAGTTGTGGATTAAGATCTGAGGAGTGTTACTTACACAGATTTGGCAGGCACTGGAGTCTGGGGTATCGCAAGTCTCGTTCACCTGAAAATGACCATGTTTACAGTTGTCAGAAACTGGTGTTTTTTTTTCTGGTGCTACTTACACATTTATTCCGACAGTGAACAAGTTTAATGAGCGAACAGCTCTCCCGGCACATTTCAACCTGCATTATGTAGTGAAAAAGTTATTAAGTCATGGTACACAATAGTAATCTATAATTGTTATTCACCAACCATCTTGTAGATTGTGCAGTTATTTTCGAAAGCTGAATCTGGGATCATGGGCCAAACTGGATAGGTGGTAGACACCAGATCCTGCATTTGTATAATACTACTATAATGTTCGCAGTTGAGCCAAATTGTAAACGTGCGAAGAGGCTACTTTGCATTTGGTTGCCTGATGTTCCTACCACACAAACACACGAGAGAGTTTACGATATTACAGCAGACTATTCGCCTGTACTCTGTTTACCCTGCACCCAGCAGGTATCATAACAAAAAGAGATTGTGGTAGTGATAAGTGTTCCCGCTCAACTGAGGAAAATTCAAACATGGGAATGCTCTATTCATGCACTATTTTTTCGCAGTTAGATCGCGTAGCTGGTATGGGGAAAACGCTCGTCTGCGGGCACAACAAACCTCCAGATTTATTCCTTCTTGCGGTGCAATCTGTGTGGGAAGAAAAGGCTTATTTTCACGCTAGCGAGCGCGGGGACCTAGAATGCACGCACCTTCTCGATGCAGGCGAGGTGGCAGCGGGGTTCCAAGTCCCCTGCAGTGTCGATGCCGCCGCCCAGAGGCTCGGGCAGCGGGTCGGGAATCCTACACCTATCTCCAGACCCCGATCCATCCCCGCTCCCCATCTCGTCTTCGCCGACTGCAAAGAGAAGTGCGGCGTGGGCCGCCAGCAACGCGAATAGCAGAATTTTCCGAGGCATTTCTTGGAGAGCGAACCGCGGCGAGAGACGGCGAAGTTTTGCAATCGTCTGCTCACCAGGAGCTCGACCTACTGACTCCAACTCCCACACTCACAGTTTTTGTAGCGCGCAAGCGGCGCGACGATGTGTGCGCGCGCCTATGCGCGTCCACCCACTCAAAATTATATCTGCGTGGACGCGGGTGTCAGCTCAGTGGCTCTCAATCACTAGCTACACGGAGCTACACGATATTACTAGCAGGAAATTTCATTGGCATAATTGGGGGGGCAAGAACACCACTTCCGAGCAGTATAAGGTTATCAACCCTTTACCAAAGCTGCATGTGACCTGCAGAGCATTACAGTATATACTATAAGGGGGGAAACAGGGAAGAGAAATAAAACAAAGACTCGTATATAGTGTGCTTACCAGCCAGATACCATACAAGTTCCCACTATGTGTACATACTCAAGTCAGCCACAGACTCCAACAGGCCGTTGACCTTTGTGTGCACGAGTGTACATAGCTGCCTGCATTTAGCAGTGTTCTCTGAGCCACAGACAAGGAGCAGGGAGAGCAGCACTCCTGGTTGTGTGGGTGGGGGGAATCCAGCAGCCAGCCATCTCCTTACATTGTGTGGGGACACCAAAACAGACAGTTTGTGTCCTTGAGCTTTGCAGAGCTTTTGTGACATGGGTATTTATGCTATGCAGATACTTCACTTACCTCTTACTTGCCAAGGAAGACATGATGATGGTGTGTAACTCATTAAGGTGCAGGCCATACTTGAAGTGGAGTAAGAATACATGCACTAAACATCTGCACATTTTATTGTCAATCAAGTAATTGGCATCCTTCTGTGGTGAATTGCAGCAAACATTTAGTTTATCGCCCTACAATAAGTGAGCCAACTGAGGCTGAGATTGTAATGCATACACCTGTTCGCTGCCAATTTCCAGTGAAATTACCAAAAGGAAGTGATTATGTAGTCTGCGAAATAAACCACATTATACTTTCCTAAATAAAGTTAGCACTTCGCATTATCACAAACTATTGGCCACGGACACTCATTAACAATTTGCAAGTATGCTTAATGGGGATAGCGAATAAACCTCTTGAAGCAACACATAGCTGATGTGTCACGCCTAATGTCAGGAATGTTATCAAGAGAGTTGTAAGGCTTCATGACTAGTATATAGCGAATACCTGATCTCTACTTCCATTCTCATCCCACATAAGGCTATCAATAATTTCAAACTTGGCCACAGTGTGCACAAGAGACCAATGATTATTAGTAGAATGTTTGGTTGTCTAAACATCTCTCTCTCAGAGAGTAAGGTTTTAGGCCTGAAAGAGAACGAGTGCTTTGGGGCATTATTTCAACCCCACCTTGCTACTGGGCCGAGGGATTGCTTTTAGTCAATGAGTTCTATCATCTGAATCCCCCATTTCTTATGTCACACTAACAATCAGGACTGCTGTATGAAATGAACCGACAGAGGAGTAAAATGGAGTTACTTTACAGGTTCAATATCACAAGCCAAATTCAGCCTCAGCAACTGGTAGTCCAACACGTTGACCGCTAACGCTGGTCTTCGCATCCTCTGATATAATATGTCTGTCCAGTTGTCTTTGCTTTTGAGCACACCAATTTTAAATGTACGCCATCACTAGGTTAAGCTACTGGCGAGCCTACGTAGTTGTCTGGATTTTATGATGGTGCTGTCAGTGAAAAAAACAGCTAAACTTTTGCGCTTGCGTTTGCTTCTTGTGTATTTGCATCTTCTATATACTCTGCCATTTTGGGGCCAGCATGTAGCTAGCTACATAGCTATTAGGTATGTTAGCTGCTGTGCCAGCAATCAATTAGTACTTGATGTACTGCCACAAATTACGACATGTGGATGCCTACCTACCAGTAATAGGTTCCATCAGACTGCTTTTTGGACACCACTCGCAGTACGAGTCACATCACCTCAGTCTTTACAAGTGGGAAATTCGACAGACATTTTCAGTGGGTATATACCATTTTGAATTTCACTCACACAAGTATCAGATGTTGTTTTCAGAAATCCAATGCTTCTGAAGTGAGAGCAAACAGAACAAGTACTTCCTCTCTCTTACCTAAAACAACAAAGATGACATGTAGGAATTGCGGGCTCCTTGTGATGTGGGCTAGCTGTGATAACTCTTTTTCCTGGAACCAGTGGAGGTATGGTGGAGAGAGGGGTCCACGGCTGAGGAAACTTCAAAGGGATTCAAGGGGATTTGAAGCGTTTTATCACTGGCCCCATCTCTGTGAGCTGCATTCCCTCTGGTCTGGCCTGTGAGTAGGGAGCAGGACGGAAGGGAATGATATAACTTGGCACACACTCTACTGCATACACTATACACAGCACTCAACCTTGTGTGTGGAGCTCACCAGGGTTCCTTGCATTTTGTCTGTGAGAAAGTGTTTCTGGTCGCTATTACGTAGCTCCAAATGTCAACAACCCGTGGAGATTGGCTTTTGCAAAACCTTCGAGTCATCAGACTTCCAACGTCGCTGCTGATTAGCCTTCTCCACTTTTATGCCAATGCTCTACGATAATATACTGTAGACAGCTCTAAGTGAATGTTCTGGCAGTTTATACTGGAACTTTCCACTGCAAAGGCACCCTACTTGGAGAAATTTCCTCTATGGGGATTAAATTTTCAATGCTTAAGGCTCAATTACTTGCAAGTGTACTGTAATCCATTTCAAAGAGAGTTCACATGTGCCATTTCAGTTTCAAAGCAGTGAAAGCCAGTTTCAACATACAAGGACCCGTGCGGCAAGTTGAAGTAGAATGAGTGGACCAGGTAGTGGTTTACTGGCAGTTGGCAGGCAAATATAACATCTGTAATAGATTAAAAGTGATACCAAGTGACTCTCCTTGTTGCTCTAACTGGCGTAATGACTCTAGATATGCATGCAATTACACCACTCTCATTATGTGGAGCGACTTAGTAGTATGGCGCCATGCAGCTTGTCTCACATAATGGACCTCAAGCAGGAGAGGTTAATGAGTGGCGGTGTCAACACATGGCAAGTGCATGTCAACTACATATAGGACAACTCGACAAAAAGAAGCGTGGGGTGGGATTTGAACCTACCACACTCTGCAGTCTAAACAGAGTACTCTATCCTCTAAGCTACCAGGACACCTCAGCCGGCAGCGGCTCAAATCTTCTTAGTTGTGGGACCAAGGGGTGGAGAATGGACTGTTAATTGAGACGTCTCAAACACACAATCAAAGATATATCAGCACTCTGAATCACAATGTGCAATTCCAGAGCCAAGCTCGGCTATGTTAGCTTCACCTCATTTTTCATCCATCCAGTTGCAGGATAATGGAATTCCATTCCTCTGTAACCCTACTGCACTCTAAGGTTTCTTCTTCGTCCACAGCTGTTGGTTAGGCAGGCGGTGGCACGAGACAAGGTTCCCAGCATCTTCTGCCACTACACATCATGTCTCTCCCACACGTGGTGGTCAGAAGAAGCCTTCCCTCCCACTCAGGCTAGGGTGCTTGAATCTCTCGTTATCTACTGCCCACACGTCCACACCCAATATGTGGAGTATTATTGGGGACGATCCTGTTATTTTCTAGTATCATTATTGTGGAGTCAGTCCTGGTGCAGTTTGTGTCCCACATTGAAGTACTGTGGATCCCACTTTAACATTATGATACACATCAACGTACTACTTGCCTCACAGGCTATCATCACAAATCTTTGCCAGCACAGAGGTATGTTAGGCTACTATGTATACACAGCTAGTTGCTTCAAATATATATATGCATTACAAAATCAAACAATGCTCGGGGTAGGTGTAATTTTACATACACACATACGTACATGCAGATAAATAAAGTATTCACTCAAGTGGGTTAAACAAAACTGGTTGGCCTACAGGTTACAATATAATGGCAAAAGTCCAGTAAATATATAGAACGGTGAACATGAGACAAACAAAATGTTCCTGTTTCTTTGTTTTTCTTTGTATCATTCATGTTAGGTGAGGGAAATCAGTATTTCGGGCATCGTCGAGTTCCCTCCCTGCCCTTCGGTCTCATTTGCCCCACCATCAACTCCGCCCCATCCGCCAGCACCATTCAAATTAATGCCCGCCACGGGGACGTTCTCTGAAACTTGATAGTAGCCACTGGAAGACCAATCAGGTGGACTCGTGACGTGTACGCTTCTTCGACCGGAGGGTGTGTCCACATAGACATTTCTGTTCCCCGTCACGAGTTGGAGGCTGGCAGGTCGTGCTCCCCCTTGCCCCGTGGCAGGGGATCGATCCCTGAGGGTCACCTGGAGCTCATTGTGCTGTGCAACAGAAGGGTTGTCCACATACACGTTCTTCTGTTCTTTCACCTGCGGCTGGAGGCTTGCGCCTCCGGGCGGTTTTTCTGGTAGCTGAACCGGTGACTGTGATCTCGGGGATCGCTGGGAGGCGGGGGAGTCGGTGAAGTCCGAGTGAGGCGGACTTATCCCGCGGAGGTGGAAGGGAGAGGTGGCTGACACCATTTTCCCAGTGTTGGGAGCAAGTTTCCCGGCGTTGAGCAGGTTATCCAGAATTTCAGCATCTGAGGCCAGATCAGGATTGTAGTAGGGTTTGCTGGCGTCAATCTGGAGGTCAATGTACGTGTCTTTCTTCTCGGCCAGCAGCATGCTGTCGAAACGAGCGCGGAGTCCGGTGAACGTCGGGCGTTTCCCTGGGTCTTCCTGCCAGCACTCCAACATGATCGCATACCTGATATATACAAACAACCAGCCACGCACATAAATACTAGAGAAACTGTAACATATTTTTGGTGAGCGAGCACAAGCAGTTCAAATTTTTGCAATTTAGATCAAAAGTTGGTGACCAAAACAACTCAAATTCAATTATGTTACCCTGATGTAATCATGTTTTGCAGTTAAAATCTTGATTGAAGAAGTGTGTGTGTGTGTGTGTGTGTGTAGCTTACACGTCTGAAGAGCAGTTGTCAGGTTTTTCCAGTCTGTAGCCTCGTTTCAGGAGGGGCAGGAGGTCTTCATTCTGGATAGTCGGGTACGGGAATCCACCTGCAAAAACAATAGCACAGATATAGGATTACCGCAACTCCCATAAACCTACTGCTATGCTAAGTCCAACTGCAGTGATAGGTCCAGCAATAAACAAAAGGAATGGGCTTAAAACTATAGTGTTTGTGCTTCCAGCTATATATATGTATCCAGAGTAGCTCTATATCATCACTAGCTCAAGTCCTGAGGTACTGGAGGAGGTTTCCTCTATATTGTCAAAGGAACACTAAGTGAGTGTGTACCAAGTGTTCCAATTTCCCAGAGCACAACACCGTAGGCCCACACGTCAGAGGCAGAAGTGAACTCTCTTGTGATGATTGACTCAACAGCCATCCACTTGAGGGGCACGCGGCCCTTGGTCTTCTGTACATAGACCTCGTCGGTCTCTCGTGACATCCCGAGATCGGTGATCTTGAGCACCTTGTCCTCGCCCACCAGGATGTTTCTGCAGGCAACGTCCCGATGCACAATACCCAGGCTGGACAAGTACTCCTGTACAGTGGAAGAAGGAAGAGAGAAAGAGCTATTTTGAAAGTCATTCTAAATAAGAATGATAAGCCT